TTTTTTTTTTTTTTTTTTTTTTTTTTTACAGATTTTCATCTTAGATAGATCCTTACTACTCCATATTAGGTCAATAGGGATGTGTACACAAACCTTTCACCAAAATCATATATACACCTAAAGGCTAAACTGACCCAAAACGTACTATAGAGAGATATGATTAGTTTTCACTGTTTCTTACCTGGGCTATATACTATCAAAATTGTTATTATTGTCTACTCACTTTTAGCTTATAACATTATTTTCAACGTATTTTCTCACTCATGTATTCTAAAACATTTATTTCAAACGTGACTCGAAGTTCAAGCATATGTCAATGTTATCTATAGAATCTGCATTTTTTTTACGACGGACTTGTTTGTTGGGTTAGAACAATTGTGGGATGTTGTTATTATTATTATTATTATTTATATAATATGGAAGAATAGAATATGCATTACCTAATTATAGCAAATTATTATCAAGAAAGAATAAGCAAATAAAAAAAGGGAAAAAAATATACAGGTTTATTAATAAATACAATTTAAGATCTGAAAAAGAAAGATTCCGTGTGAAATAGAAGTGGGAGTAGGGTGTGATCACGTGAGCGCCACAATTAGCTAATCCAAATCAAAAAGCTAAGACAAATTATGATAATTATTTAAGGATAAATCTCAAATTAATTCAAATTACAAAAAGCAACACGCCTCTTTTATTTTATTTTTTTAAATTAAAAAATTAAAATGAAATTTGAAAACCGTTGGCTACGGGGTTTTTGTTCAGCGCCCACAGTCCTGACAAAAACCGGCTACTGGTTTTGCTTCAAAAACCACTTTTCTCCAATCTTCCTGAAAACCGGGAGATTTTATTTATTTATTTAAATTTAAATACAGGGGTGTTGTGTGGGGCCCGCTTTATTCCACGTTATGTGGCAATTCGACCATATTTTTGACATCCTGAAGGTATTCCCCACGCGCCTACGTTTTTCCATATCTGCTTTTTGGATTTTCCCCTTTTTTTTTTTTTTTTTGCTTTTT